CAGTGATGGTGATGATGGTAGTGGCAGCAGGAAGTGTGGGTGCTCATCCCTTGCTTCTGCCCAGGATTGCCAGCGGCTTCGGGGGTGCACTCTTCGTCTACCTCAACCGCAAGATTGTGCAGTTCATGCGCCGCCAGAAGACCATCAATCGCTTTCTCATGAAGAAGTAGGTGCCTGGCGGTCCCTGGCACCAGGGTGGTGGAGCTGGGGCTGCACCGACATCACCCCCCACCATGTGCCACCCTGCCAGGCGCCTGCTCTTCCCTGCCCTGGTGACGCTGCTCATCTCCACGCTGACCTTCCCGCCCGGCTTCGGACAGTTCATGGCTGGCCAGGTACCTGCCGTGGGGTGGCACACTGGTCCCTGCCCTGGGGCCGTTGCCAGCCCTGGCTGACCTCTGCCCCTTGCCAGCTCACCCAGAAGGACACCCTGGTGACACTCTTCGACAACCAGACATGGGCCAAGCAGGGGCTCAGTGATGAGTTCGAGTACTTGGGCATCCTGGAGGCCTGGCGCCACCCCCGCTCCAACGTCTTCGTCACCCTTATTGTCTTCATCCTCATGAAGGTGGGTGCCTCCTGCCCCTGGATGCCACTAGAGAGGTGCCAGGTTGTTGCCCAGAAGGTGACACCGGGAGGCACTGGGTGGCTGCTCCCAGAGTTGGGCGCTGCCAACATGCCATCAAAGAGAGTTTGGCTAGGGTCTACCAAGGTGCCAGCAAGAGGTGCTGGCGGGGTGCTACCAGGGAGGTGCTGGCAGGGTGCCCTCAGGTGCCACCGGGGTGTGGTGCCCCCAGGGAGGAGTGGGGTAGCCCCATGGCACGGCACTGTGCCCACGTGCTGCTCCACAGGAGCTGGCTGTGGGGCACAGCAGGGGCAGAGGGCAGGGCTAGGCTGGGGGGGCAACTAATGGGTGCCTGTGTCCCCCCTGTGCAGTTCTGGATGTCAGCCCTGGCCACCACCATCCCAGTGCCCTGCGGAGCCTTCATGCCCGTCTTTGTCATCGGTGAGAGCCCGTACACTGTGTGGGCACAGTGGGAGGAGGGATCCACCTGCCAGCCCACACTGGCGCACCCGTGGGTGTCCCCAGGTGTCCCCTTCCCCGGCAGCGTGGGGGCAGAGGAGAGGGCATGAGGCTGGGTCGGGTGCTGGGAGAGCCCCTGCGCCTGCTCCCAGCCCCTCTCTGCGGGCAGGGGCAGCCTTTGGGCGCCTGGTGGGGGAGAGCATGGCAGCCTGGTTCCCCGATGGGATACCGCATCGTGCCAGGGGGCTACGCCGTGGTGGGTAAGCACCGGGCCGGCACAGGGACACCACAGTGGGCAGTGCTCGGAGACGCTCCAAAGAGCCAGTGGGTTCCCCAGGGCCAAGGTGATGTCCCCAGGGATGGAGGGTGACCCAGGAGGTCCCAAGGATGTCCCAGGGATGGGGTCCCAGCCCAGCAGGCAGCACCTGACGGCCACCCCTATGTGTCCCGGGGTTGGGTGCAGGGGCAGCCGCGCTGTACGGTGCTCTACACCACAACGA